TAACGCGATAATTGTGTTCTTGTAAAATATCGTGTTATAGAAAATCGCGTAATAGAAATAACAGGGCTTATGGAGAAAATAGGGTTAGGTGCAGATTACTCGAAATCGAAAAAATTTAGTAATTAGCCTAACACAAATGATAGCACAGTCTAAATAAATGTTACATTCATATCTAATAATGAAATCATACAGTAAATGTAACACTTTACCTTGAAAAAATATGAATGTAACTTCATGGGGGAGAAGGGTGATTTTGAGGTTGATAACATCGAGCTTCTCTTCAAGTGTTATATCCTTTCTTTTATGATCATCACCGGGAATTCTATCACCAGAACGCTTCTTGGAGATATTCTTCTTTACCATATTCACAATTAATACCACAAAATTGGAGAAATAGTAAGCAAAAATCGCGTTATAGCAAACAAGCGTTCGCGTTATACAAATATCGTTCCTAATTCATAAATCGCGTTAGAGCAAATTCGCGTTATCAAAACACGCGTTATAGCAGAACTCACTGTGCTGTATTGTATATTTTCAGTTCATGGCCTCCATTTGCTGTTTCAGCATTTTAGTACTGTAGTGTTTTTTGTAATAGAAGTTGATGATAGTCTGTTTTTATGTACTGCATACTTGAGCTGATACACACACACACACACACACACACACACACAGTGTTATGGAACCGTTTATTTGGCGTCTTGGTATCTGGAAAACTTTATAAAAAAAAAAAGGGGGGCTATGTTCATGAACAAAATATTGAAAATGAATGTTGAGTAATTTTGAGGCCGAAATTTCCAACTGTTAGCTAAATGTTATGGTTATTTTTCAACTCATAATTTCGGGTGGATAATTTTTTTTTCTTGGTTACATACAGAAAGTAAAAAGATAAACAAAATTATCATACTATATAAAGTTTTAAGTATCTATGGGTTTCCACCGTGAAGCCATGTGGCGAGTGTGTAGAGAGGTCAGGGGGTATACGGTGCAAAGCACCATTGCTAAGGAAGGCAGCTGAACTGTGTTGCTAAGGCGAGTGTCGATGGAGACTGAAGCAGTTTGTACACTACTTTGTATTATTTTGCCCTTTTTATGCTTTAGTTATTACTATAGTTATAATTTTAGGTTTTAATGTTATGTGTACAATTACAGCTACTTTTAGGGGTGAATCTAGTGACCTGTACAGAGGCTTCATAGCCAGTTACTGTACATAGGTTGTACTATACATGCGTACATTTTAGGTCTGGTACTCCTAATTCTGGAGAAAAAATCCTTATCCAGTAACCCTTAGGTCCCAAGCATACTGAATAAATGTCCCATACCTATATATATAAAGCACAATGTCTGTATGTTTGTGGTGGTTTGACATGCCTGGCTAGTTTTGAAGATTTCGAGTCAAAATTTGGTATGGAGAAGTGCATATATGTCAAAAAGGTGGAATTTTTGGGGGGTTGGCCCCCTACCCCAATGGGGGAACCTCCTTATTAAGAACTTGTATATATTTTTTTTTTGCAGTACATGGCCTTGATTTAGACCTGTGCACAATCAAAGTTTTGAACATAAGAGTTGAAATTTAATTAGGTTGGGTTATTTTTTGCAAGCATACTTAATAGGTTAAGGATGGTCATAGCCATGTGGCTGCACCTATTCTGGTAACCTTTACTTTGTCAAAAGCAAATCTGGGCAATGTCAGTTTATGGAAATTCCTGATTTTTAGTTAAACCTAAGCTGCCACTACCAAGTTTGAGTAATAATTACGCTTTTCGTGTTAAAGAAAACAATTACCGGTATGCGAGTCATTAATACAATGATAGTTGGTTGTTGGTCTTTTGGAAGACATTATAATACTAGACAATGATGGCTCAAGGTAATGACAAAGAACATAAAAATCACCTGAATGGCAAACAAGATGACCCTGAAGCTGTCAAAGCATTTAATTTTTTTACCAAATAAAAGAACTAAAAAGAGTGAAATCATTAGTGCTAAAACAGTGAAATATTGGTGCTTTAGAATTAATGTTCGTACCATCGTTTTGGAATTATTACAGCACGGTTAGTAATGAGAGAACGATGCAGAATCCAACAAAACTGAAGCCAGCCACAATGGATGATTGGTGAGTACCAGTTTTCATATTTAGTACCTTAGATATTCTTAGTAATATAATGTATTACAATGGTATTACTGTAGTATGTATAAGTGAGAGACAGATCAATGTTGACAAGATAGCCACAATTCTTTAGGTTGTTTATGCAGTTGGGGCTGGCGGCATGTATAACTTCAACCTGTTTTTTCATTATTTTGGCAGCAGGGCAAGTCCAGAAGGCTGTGCCTCTTATATCAACACTATGCACTGTTATTTTCCATAATTTCAAGCTTTCCTATTCATGTCAACTACTTTTACTTCTTGTCCCCCTGGCTTGGTTTGAGCTTTTGTCAGAATTCAATAGATATATGAAGTCATCATCATCAATATTATATCCTGTAATACAGCCATTTTCCATGGTTGTGTGGGTTAGTTGTGATTACCTGATGGCAGCTGTTGGTTAAAAACAAAATGAGATCCCCAACCCAGAGTGCCAGCCCAGAAATGTAACAGAGTTCTAGTGACCCAGTTGTCATCAGGCATGTTGGAGGAAAGTTTTATGGCTGGATGCCCTTCCTAATGCCAACCCACACAGTGGGAACAGCTGGCAATGCAGAGATGCAACTCCCTGAGGTAATCAAAGACTACTTGCAAATCATATACCGAATATATAAAAAATAAGGGTAAAATGTTACTACAGTATATAACTTGAGCTTACTATCTCAGCTGCAGGTGACAAAGAAACTGTGGAGGGGGAGTGGGGATGTAGGCCAGTGAGAGATAATTATTATTTTTTCATTATGTATACATTTATTATATTGGATAGCATGTCTTAGGTCCCTACAGTTGTATGACTGCAAAATCACTACTGCAGGCCATGGACAACCAGATGTCAGTATCAAAATACTTGTACCAGCACATTTACATATTAGCGTGGTGGACCAAATATTTTCCTGAGTAACCAGAAATGAGGGTATATCTCGGGGGTGGGAGGGCAATCAATCCTAGTTAAAAAACTTCAGTGTGTGTACTGTATGTGTGTGTACAGACGCACATGGTGCAACTCCACAAGTTTGCTCAACAAGAGTTTGCTTTTTGGCTTAGTTTGCACATATGTTATTTATGACTCAAATTTGTCTGTTTACGTTCACCCAAAAATCTGATAGTTTCTCCAACAAAATAAAATAAAAATAAAAAAAATTAATATAGTGAATATGTTTTGATAATATTTTTAACATGAACTTGGGGTTCATATATAAGCACATTTTGTAGAGTCCAATTAGCTATTTTCTCTTAATTTGTTCATGGTGAGAAAATTAGATTTTTTTTTTACAAACATTACATAAGCTTGAAAGATCAGGTATGAGACAAATTTTTCAATGATGATACTGTATATATGCAATTGGTACAAATTAAACAGGAAAATCCACCCGATAAAAAAACAATGATTGGTGTAAGACAGCAGCGTGAGAGCACATCCAGTCCACCTGGCAAAAGGCAACCACCCTTCTCATCCATTCATAACATGCTAACATTGTTCATTTGCTAATTTTGTGATGAAAAAAGAACTTCAAGATTTTTTTCTGAATAACTTAAAAAAATGGGCAAAGAAAAATTAATCCATGAATAAACATAACAGATGCCTGATGGACAGTTAATTTAACAAGTGGCCTGCTTGAGGTATAAAAAATTGATTAACACAGTTTAACATTCACTGGCATTCCTCACATGATGGATATACAAATGGGGGAAAGGTGACTGAATTTCAATGTAGTGGTGGAATAGATTACTACATACTATACAGTACCATATTGTTAATGTGGGCTCTTAGTATCAGAGGTACCTTGTTTGTAGCATAAAGCATTTATGTATGTGATAATTGGGTTTATGGTCCCCAAGTCCATAACTAAATGTGGTACACACCTGATATTTTGGGTTTGTGGTTCAGAGTTCCATGTTAACCTAGTTGTTATGCAACTTGTCAAACACATACACACACACTTTCCTAGAGTGTGTGCGTGTATCCGTGTTTATGAGAATTTGATGGGATTGATAATTTTGCTGGTGTACACTCGCACCAAAAGTATCAGTGCAGGGTGTGATCGACGACTTCCGAAACAATACGTATACACTGTGATACGGGAAGGTTGGTAAGTGTATCCTCATACCCCCCCCCCCCACTAGGTGTTGCCATATGACTGACAATCAGTGTGTTTGTTTCCTCTTTTCAGATTGTTGCTTTGTGTCGACTGAATGATGAGCGAGGGTTCGGTCTTGGTGAACGTGGGTATAAAACAGAGGCAATACGAAGCAGTAGAGATTTACACATGCCAGACGACATGGAAACCTCAGAGAGAACACGAGGAGCTATTCTTGCCCTTCATAACGAAGGGTTCGGCATCACAGATATTAGCCGGCTGGTTGGTGTCCACAGGAACACAACTGCACGATGGATTCGGCGATACCTCGAAACTGGTGCCTTAGACGACAGGTCTCGGAGCGGCCGTCCACTCTGCACCACCCTCAGGATGACCAGGTTGAGTGGTTTATTTGGTAGCATAAATTAATGTGGCAATATTCACAAGTATCACAAATAATTTTGTTAACAGGGAGCTCCTCATATTTCATACTGTCTTATTTATCACTTCCCGACCTTATTTATAACGGTTTGTTTCACTTGACCAGGCCATAGTAGCTGCTCAGCAGGATTACAGGGCTGCCAACATACGGCTGGAACAACTCGCCTTTCCCAATACTTATCGTCACTGGTCTCAAATTGTTCACACCACAGTATGCACCGATACTTTTTGTTGCGAGTGTACATTAAAAAACAAAAACTATCAATCCACTCGTCTACATCCTTTCTTCCACCATCCAGCACATAAACACTAACAAATGAAGTAAAGATAATCATACAACCTTTATATCTTCAAACATTTTCACAGGTGACTGCTTGGCTTGAAATACAAAATATGCAAGTTAAATAACATGGAAAGCTTACAGATGCCTCCCTAAAACAAGTCTTCACTCATTGAGCTAAATTTCAACAGTATCTTACACAAAATATCATAAATCCTGATCTTTAATAATTTCCTTTCTATGAAAAGGTTTCCTATCAAATGGCAGTAAACGTACCGTTCCTTCAGTAAAACTCAAATAATAATTCAATGATATTATAACACGTAATACAAAGTGTCTTGATACTCTAAAACTAATATCATGATAACTAATTAAAAATATTTAATCACAATCTGATATACCACAGGGGACACTGGTAAAATAAAACTTTTAATTTTTTAAACTACTGAACTAAGTACACACACACTTGTAACCACAGATGCCTCTCATCTAGAAAGTGGTTGGCACTGTTGGCAGTTGTCCATTAGGAGAGGCTGATACCGCTCTACTTGGATAGTTGTGTGGAATATTTGGTGACGGGCCCTTATAACTCTCTGAGCATCTCTTAACACAACTTCTGGGTCACTTTCTTCACCTATAGAACATAAAAATTAAAACATCATCTATGTGGCAGATACAGTATATTGCAAAAGTTAAGATAAATGAACTACAAAGGACAGTATTTGAATTATCATGATAGTTTGAAGGATTTTCTAGACAGAGAAAGGAAATGTAAAGAATGTGTTAGCTGAAAATTTCTTGTAAAGTTCAATGAATAAGTACACAATAAAGTTGTATGGGTAGATGGCATATTACAGATCAGTGAAGAGGATTTATGATAGCATGGTTGAAACTTGAAAGTATGATGCAAATAAGAGTGAAGGAAACATACTAAATTAATATTTAGTCCCTCGGTCTAATTTTTACAAACATTTAAATGTATATATACTTACTTATTGCTAAATGCACTGAACATGCATTTTTATCAAGTGTAAGTGCCCACACATGTAGAGAGTGAACCATTTTCACTCCAGGCAATGCTGTGAGGTTAGAGCAGACTGAAACATAGTCAATTCCTGGTGGCATCCCCTCCATCAAAACAATACCCAAATCTTTCAGGATTGGCACTGTTGTTATAATCACAAGAATGGAGAATATGAAGGTGCAGATGGGGTCTGCTACCTTATATTCAGGCTGCAATGAAAATAATTTTTTTTAGTTTTTCAAAGAAAGGGTGCTGGAAAATATCTGACAAATGTCAAGGTCAAATCTATTCACTGAGGCAACCCCCTACCAAAAAATCAAAGATACAGTATTTGCCAAAATTTTATAGCGGTAAGAATAATGTCAAACACCTTTGTGAATAAAACAATATCATAACTTACATAAAACCTAATGATATAGGCAGCTATTAGAACACCAACACTCTGTATCAAATCTCCTACAACATGGATGAAAGCTGCTCTGACATTAATATTAGTATTGTCAGATGATGAGTGTTGGTCAGAGTGGGCGTCACGTCCACTGGGACCATGGCTATGACTCAGTCCTCCATGACTGTGGCCATGTGCACCATGTCCTACGTGAAGAACAATACCCAGGCTGCAAAATAACCATTAGATATAATACTGTACAACTTAAGTGGGAGTAATGCATGGAGTTCATTTACAAGATGCAATATATATATATATATATATACAGTACAGTACAGTATATACAATTTGTACCTACAGATAAAAAAAATGTGATATGCAGTTATCTATTGAACGTATACCTTGACCCTTCAATTCTAAAAGACAGGTTTCTGCATACAGTACAGTAATATTTCTGTTAGCCGGAATCCCTCAAACCCGGAACTCTCCGATAGCCGGAACTGAAATTTACCAAGGAGCACATTTTCTGGAAAATTCCAAGAAAATTTTCCCGATACCCGGAAAATTCCTGGGATGGGGGAGTTTTTTCTGGGTTTGAGAGACGAAAATCAGGAGCATTTTCTGGAAATTCCGAGAAAAATTTTTTGGTACCCTGAAAATTCTGGGGGTGAGGGATATTTTTCTGGGTCCAAGAGAAGAAGTAATGGGTAATTTCTGGAACTTCTAAGAAAATTTTTCCGTTACCCGGAAAATTCCGAGGATAAGGGATTTTTTTTCCACTTTGAGAGAGTCGTCTCGTTACCCGGAAATATCTTTCCCGGAAGTGCTCTGCACCAATTGTTCCGGCCAATGGAGATATCACTGTATTACCAATCAAGGTAGAAAGATTACTGTACCTAGATGATTTCCTTTAATGATTTTTTTTCTTTTCTGATAAACAAGGCCAGAGAAAACATAATCATAATTTTTCCCACTTGTTCCCAAAAAGCCCTTTGCCATCCCTGCTTTTTTTTGTTAGCAACACATTCAGTTACTGCTGACTAGTCATAATCCCAAGAAAGGAAGTAGGGCTTCTGAGCCATTTGACATCAGATTCCAACAGAAGAAGGGAATTCAGGATCAAAATGGGACAAGCAAGGACCTGATTTCTCCCTTCCCAGGGTTAGGGAATGGAGGCAATGAGACTGACAAGAACTATCACAATGGGAGAGAACTCAGGTCATAATTTCTTTGACCGATTGAAATGGACTAGTTTTTCCATAAGGGACATCCAGCAATCTCTCTAGCTGCAGTGGTAACATCCATATAATTCTGGAAAAATGTCTTTCAGAAAAGGAGGGTCCAAGTATGAGCTGGAAAAAACTACAATTTGTAGTTGTTGCCACTGTGGCCCTGCAAGATGCGATGGACATTTCACTTACATGACTGGTGTAAGATAATATCAGATAATTTACTCATCCCTGATCATAAAATGGGATTTCAGAATCAATCCACATTTATTACAATCCTACTATACTGTATTCCATTACACAGGGAAATATTTGTCTTATGGTTCATGTCATCACTCTTTCCCAAGATAAATTTAAACTTCATAAGGTGATGTACAGTAGCTAAAACAATTATCTGTGCATACTTTGTGGGAAACAATATGAGAACATGGACGATAAATTTTGGCATATGAGGGCTGTTACTAGTCACCCATAAAATTTCGGAGCATATCGACCCCCACCTGCATAGATAGTTGTTTTAGTTACTGTACAGGGTATACAACAAAAAACTTCCTTCCCATGGAAAAAACAAATTCAATTGTTTACAATAATCATTCAACAATAAAATTACAATATTAAATATTTTACACACAAAACTGTTTATAAAAATTGGGGAATTAACAATACTGGAGATACTAATCACAAATCCCTCCCTCTTACATTAAGTAATTCCTCTACCACCTGATGGCTTATACAATTAAATTTGTTAATTTACATGCTACAACAGCTTATTCATTATCATATACAGTATGTCATTGAAGACTCAGAATGACAATAAGTGTGAACTTACATGATATTGATAACAACCCCAAGAGCAGACACGATAATCATAGTGTCTGCTTCCACCTCAAATTTCATGGAGATGACTCGTTGAATTGCTGCATAGACTAGAATGCCAGTAATCACCCAAATGATGAGAACACTCACTACTGCACCTAATACCTCTGTAAGTTATAAAGTGGTATAAGACATGAGGTACAGTACTTGTAAATGAATATATGACTATCAATGGGCATAATCCACTTACTTGAAGATCAAAATCATCTAAATGTAACAAAGAAGAAACTGGTTGTTTAAATGAGAATGAAAAAGTTGACTGCAAGCTGTCAGGCCAATGGGAACCACTTATATTTTCTTTGTTAGTTACAACAAACTATGTTACCATATTAAATCAATTGTATTAGGAAAGACTTAAAAAAATAAACCTAAAGTGTAGGTAACACAGCCTCAAAAATGAATGCACCTGTATATGAGAAATGGATGAATGGATATAGGGAAAGCAGTGAGGATATACAAAACCAGTTTCTACATGATTACTCCTGAATTTTCATTTTATAAATGAGTTTGATTTGCAGCTGACCCCTGATATATTTATAATCAGAATACAGTAGTTAGGTTTTCCTTAACTGAATTAACTGGTTGAGAAGACTGGAAACATCAATTGACATTGAGAGAGGTAGTGAAATGCTGGGCCAAAATAAAGGATGTTCTACTGATTACAGCTGACAAAATGTGGAGCTGGGTGAAAGGGCCAGCCAGGTATGCAGTAACATGGCGAGGTATACAGTACAGAGCCACAAAGGAGAAAAGATGACTGTAAGAGGCCTGGAAGATGGTTGGTGACAAGGAGGAGTATCTGGAGGCCAAAAGTATAATGGGATCAGAAGAGATGTTTACAAAACTAAGAAGCTTGAACAGGACACTTTCATGGATATGTTGAATAGTACAGACACAAGAGGAGAGGTATTCAGAATAGCCAGGCAAATACTGTACAGTAGTGAGTAGAAACAAGAATGCCGTCCGTGAGCAGTGTGTGAGAAATGACCATGGTAACGTAGCTGTTAATAATGAGGAAATCAAGGATAACTGGAGAAAATACTATGATCAACCACAGACCCCCTGACGGAGACACGATGATCCTCCCCATACTGGCCAGGTATTTTGTAAATAACATTGATTATGTGTTAAAGGAATATCCTTCCTTCCTTAGGGTTTAGTAAGCCCCTTTATAATATTTATACTGTATATACTTGTCACACTTGCCAGAGGCTTCTGGCACTGAATGAGGAGTATGAATGGGATGGCCAGCCTAGGGGTAGTAAAACCAGTATAAGGACCATCCCCAAAGAATGAAAGAGAATGGGCGAAGAAAGCAATTGATAAAATGAAGAATGGAAAGGCAGCTAGAAGCTCTGGCATATTTGCAGAAAGCATCCAGCAATGTAGGGGTGTCAATGGTAACTGAATTGACTGATGCAATTGAGATGGAATGTACTAATCCAGACAAGTGGAAAATGAAAGTGATTTACAAGAGTAAAGATGAGGCACTTGAAGGTAGGAGATACAGGGGGCTCAAGCTGCTAGATCAGGTTATGAAATTTGTGGAAACAGTGAAAGAGAAATTGATAAAGGCGAGGGTAAACAAACAAAATGCAGTTTTGATTTATGCTAGGTAGGGGGACTACAGAGGCAATATTTATGACCAGGCAGCTACAAGAGAAATATCTAGGAAAGGTGAGAAAGCTGTACTTCCTATTTGTAGACTTAGAAGGCATTTGACAGGGTACCATTTGAAGTAGTAAAATATTTATAGAGTATGAATTAGAGAGAGATGATCTTTAATTAGCTGAGTATAAACAGTAAGAACAGGAAAGGGAATGGAGCCAGTTTCATAAAGTTGATAACACACATCTAACACCTATGCGAATGCGAGTGCAAGTGGTGCTGAAGAATAGTCACAATTTCCCTTTGTTGTGATTGACAAAAAGATTGAGGTAATGAGCACTGCTAATGAGGCAGACTCATTAGCACTTTTGTTTTGAATGAAAACTTCAATTTTCAAGTAACCCTTTTTCAAGCTGTAGTTATAGGATGAGGGAGATAGTGATTCAATAATAAACAGCATCCAGCTACAATTACTTGCTTCTAAAACATGAGTTATCAGTGTTAGGTCATAAATGGATGTTCTTCAAATGTATTACAATTGTTCCATTTATACGAAAAAGTGTATTCATCTTCAACCGTGAAAACCTCATCTCACCTGCTCTGTAATACCCGAAGTTCATCTTTTTTGAAGCAGGTTGCATGGAGAGGTAAATTGCCACTAATGATACAATGAAGGATGTGAGGTCACTGAATAAGTGAGCTGCATCAGACATGATGGCAATACTGTTTGCAAAGTATCCTCCCACAGCTTCACTAACCTGTTGATGCATTATAAAGGTAGCATTAATGACTTATGAACACCCGCACTTACGAACGGGATTCCAATTAAAATAACATTTTTTACATTACTATAATTATTCTATAATGTTTAACATTACTTTATTCACAGTACAGCTCCTCCCCAACTTGCGACCTACTCGACTTACAACCTGCCTCAGTCGTACCAAAATTTTGTCAAATTACATATTTTCAAATCCCAACGTCAGTACAGTGGTCCCTCGGTTAACGAGCACAACCCGTTCTAGAAGGTTGCTCGTTAACCGAAACCATTGTTTCAATGGGTTTTTGGATAATGGGTTCCAGCTCACCGAAAATTGCCTAAATTCAACAAAAAAGGTAGAAAAGTACACTTACTTTGAGGTGTGTATGTAGAAGGCTCCTGGATGATGATGATGGGAATTAGAATGGGGGTGGAGGAGAAGGGAGAAGAGAAGGCATTGGGGTGGAAGAGAAGTCACCCCATGGCGCCATTTCACCCATAAAATTTTAGTTCTCTTGATGTAATTCAAGATTATTTTCTTTAAATCAACACTGCACTGCATTATATATTGTCAATATGTAAATTAAATTTCAAAATGACCAATAATTTGCTTGCAAACACAGAAAAAGCATTTAGTTGAAGAGAGTCTCAAGCAAGATGTTACCTCCACTGAAAAGACACAAAGACTGACGCCTGTATGGTGTGTTGGCAGGCTGGATGGCGCGCATGAAACTAGTGACCTTACCTTCAATTATGTTCAATAATTGTTAAAATGACTAAAAAATTTAATGTTAAACTTTTACAATTGTTGAATAGTATAAACTTGTTGATATTTACTAAAATGGTAAGGAATTTAAGCCCTAGAACCGATTACTGTATTGGCGGACTAATACTACAGCTGGTGGACCGCCAAATGCAAGCAAAAACATGTTCAGGTCGGCTAGTAAGAAACTCGTTAATCGAGGGATTGCTCGTTAACCAAAGTTAAGAATCTTATGGAAGGTAACTCGTTAACTGAAATCTCGTTAGCCGAGGAACCACTGTACACAGACAAAAGTTTTGTTTTTAATTAACTTTAAAATGGCTGGCAAGCTTAAAAGTGAGAGTTTTGTGGTGCTGAGAAGAAAAAGACACCCCCATTTTAGATTTTCTATGTATTATTTAAGCATTTTTGACTTATGACCATTTCAACCTATGACTTGGATTTGAGTCCCTAACCCCGTCATAAGTCGGGGAGGAGCTGTATTTACATTACATTATTTGTTATGGATGGGATATTATTGTTGTTTTATATGGACAGGGTTGTGCTGTACTGTATATATATAAGGCATCGCCTAAAGCAGGGGCTAAAGTGCCAAATGTGCGAATTTGAGATAGGGGTTTCCCGCCCCCCCTTTTTTTTAATTTTCCGTCAAATGTTATACGTCTTACACCCATAGCTTACTCGAAGCCTGTGAGAGCTAGGTTTGAAAAATAATTTCCCTGACTCCTCACAGGCCTACAAATCTCCAAATACTGTCTTGCCAATATCTCAAAATGCCTGATTGGCATTTGAAACCAAGGTGATAGTCCTACAATGATTGGGAAACGTCTTGGTTTGGCTGCTTCTACTGTTGCTATCATCTACAATTATGCTGCGCTGGTGTGACTGTGATGTCCTTGGCAGACAGCAGTGATGAGGTGGACAGTCCTTCTCATCTCACTAAGGTCCTTACTCAGCTCACCCATCCTCACCCCCTTGTGGTGCCCTGACTGCCCTCCTATAAGGTAATGTACCAAACTTACCAAAGTTATTTTATTAAGGGTTAGGTAGTAAATTGTAGTAATAGTTTACTATTTATCATTAGATAGGTAGCTTTTTTGTTGTTTGTGAACCAATTTTATGTTTCAGGGGAACCGAACCCAATATTTTCAAACTGTATGTTCTTTTGTTCGCTATACGAAAATTCACTTTTTTTTTTTTTTAAGGACCTAACCCATTCGTACAGAGCGGGATGCCTGTACATACTGTACCTGAAAAACAACGATACAGTAATGGGTTCATAGTAGCATTAACAAAGTCTTCTATAAAGTGATATTGTATGATTCTCTATACTGTACCATATTTCTACTGTATAAATAGATTTGTTGAAGATGTTATCGATTTTGGTTCAAGGAACAATAGCAGAAAGCTTCAGGAAGAAAGACACTAATACAGTACAGTACTATACTGCATTGCACTAAATTGTTGGCAGCAAAGTGCTCAAGCATATTCAGTACAGTATATCTATTGCATCTAAACTGCCCTATATAAAGTGATATACAGTATAAGATATCTTTACCATGAATACTGATGTAAGGCCACATGCCACAAAAAGCTTCATCATGGCTTGCCGTGATGCTTGGTAATCAAGTCTAGGTGCATGGCAATGGTCGGAGGCAGAAGAGCTCACACTGGAAGATGGCAAACTTCTTGGCCCTGCTTCAACTTCTCCATTTCCATCCTGTAAGTATAAAGAAATATAATTGTTAAATGTAACACTAGCAACTGAAAATCTGTTTTACAGATATGAAAAGGCCTACCAATATACAATGTATACAGCAGGGCTAATTTTATGTACAGTACTCTGTGCATATAATCTGATATTTATATTACACATTGAAAAATTATGTAGATACTGTACTGTACTAGCATTAACTGTAGTTTACCTTTGGATGTATGCAATAAACAAATAAATTATATATACATACTGTAAAAGGGAAAAAATGAAAATTCAACATTATAAATGCTTTTTTAAGTGTGGATCACAGTACAGTACAGCACATACATGATGCTCAAAAGATTAACATGTAGCTCTTGGTAAACCTTGGTTATATTGTACTGCAGGTTGAAAACCCCTACTCTAGAGGGAGGGAAAAGAGAATCTTAGTAAAATAATCTAGACTTGGCTAAAAAAATGATTTAAGGATCAATCCTGGACTTACAGCCTTTTTACATATGGCTTGAGCAACTCATATCCAACACTAGCTAGTAAAGGAAAAAGGCAGTTACTAAAAGCCCCAACTGCTAGATTATCTTTACACCTTAATGTGGGAGTTGGGTTACTACCCTAGGAACTAAACTTATAAATGCCTAAATGTTATGTACAAGGTATTAACCCTCTTGTGCATGCAATAAATTTTTAAGTTTTCATGACCACAAAAAATCATATGGGACCACTCTGCAGCCAATTTATCCCTCAAGAATATTTTTTTGCATGATTTATACATCACTGGCTTTATTATTGTTTTGGATTTAACATAAACAGAAAGAAAATACTGTATTAGAATAAAGACTTTTTTCACTCAGCATTGTAACTGTGCTTAAACTGTTAAAACGTATTAGATATAGACACTACCTGTACTTTGTACAGGGGTATACGTATACAGTACTGTATAAAGGAAAGGAGCACGTGATTAACATACTGTATATCCAATGTATGTTCCGTCGGCTCCAGTTGTGTGTTTACCACTTAGCGTTGCCAATCCTCTTTCTCCCTTAGGTGTGAACCTTGAACTTTAATGCCTGAATTTGAAGCATTTGCTAGTGAGGGAGAGGGGAGGGGTGTGTGTGTGTGGGGGAGACAGGGAACTGGGAGTGAGGATGGAAAGTGTATATTAGTTGGGAGAGATTACAATGCCGAATAACATTTTAACAAAACTGATGTGGTTTCCGTAGCTTCGTGTAATCGTCTAGCGCTAGCCCGATGAAAATACTAAGGTTACAATAGGATAAGAGGGGCATGAATTCATATTCTAAGTAAGGGGTGTCTTTGCAAAAGAGGCATTTATGAGCAAATGGATTAAGGATATGTTTAATCTATATCTAGTAGAAGCAGCAGGTATGGAAGTTTAATATTGTTAAGTAAGGTTTTAAGTTTAAAATTCTTTAGGCTGGAATGTATCGCATTATTTTAAATAAATACATTTTTGGGGGGAGTTAACTTGAACAAAAATCAGTTTTTAACATGGAATCCTATGAGCAACTGGGTGCCCAATTTTAGCAAACATTTATCTAATTAATGCTTTCTCAAGAACATTGCAGTACTGTACTGTATTTGTTGAAAAAAAAAAGTCCTGTAAATATAAGTAGAAATGCTATTCATTTCAACTTAATATTTTCCTGTTTCCATTTGTTTGCCTCACATATTTTAATTTGAAATGTCTGTAAGCTTACAATAATACTGTACTGTACTACTATACTGGGAATACAGTACAGTATGTATATTTATACTGTACGTACTATATTGCTGTGGCTGAATACCGTGGTGTCAACGTCAGTCATACACCATGAGTGAGCATTGTCCACATTTCTTCCTTGTATGGTTTGTCTGATATTTCCTTATTTTCTTGCTTATTTCACATGGTGATTAAACACCATAACACTCCATGGGGGTTAGGTTTGCACAAGGGCATTTAATCCAGGCTGTGGATCATATGGAACTTTTATTTGTCCCAGACAAGTGACTTTTTCAAGTTTACTGGCCTGGATATTTTTTTTTTTACCTGTGTTTTGAAGCCTTTTCATACCTAAATCGTAGCTGTACTGTACCAGTGTTTGCAGAATAATTACCGATTTTCTTTCGAAGATGACTCATAATAAGGATTTAGGTTAGGATAGTGTCATACTTAAAAAAGTTCCCTATCTCGCCAAATGTTAACTGTGGCTCTAATAATTTTACGGTTATACACAATATTACCACTGTACAAAAAACTTACATGGAGTAGAGGCACATCATCACTGTCGTCTTGGGAATCCCGTAGGGCAGGGTCTGAAGGTTCACCCATAAAAAATCGAGTATGAGAATCTCTTGACTGACATCTTTCATGGCTTCCTATACTTATATTATCACTGTTTCCTGTAGCATATGAACTTGATAGAAAACTTGAAGAAATTGTTCTACATCGAGTACAAAAGGTTGGCTTTACTTCATCAACTACCGCTTCATCCAAGATAGATATTCGAGGAGTTACAGCATTAAGGAGTTTATCATCCAGGATCCCTTCAGAAGCCGTAACATTTACAGCTTCAGCATCATTGTCTAACGTATTGATGCAGGAGTTTTCTTGGTGTCTTCCATCCATGTTTACACTTTCCAGGTGACTATAGACGACAGTAAGAGAAAGTCTCCTTATAAACTGTCAAACTACTTGAACCTATTAAGTGCAACTCGATCCTTCTACTGTAATATATTCCGACCTTATATCTCTACCAGTAAGATCGTGTTTTGTTTATACCCTTATTCCTCTTGTACCCTCACCAAATAATCAACTGTGGGAATGTAAAATATCTTCAGTAATAACTCCAAAAGATAAAACCTTGAATATCTTATACAATGATTGATATGGATATTCGATAACGTATCTTAATATTATCAAGAATTCGTTTTAAGCTTGTGAGGAGCAGTGCGCACGCCCCTACAAGCTACCGCCATATTGGATCTCAGCGTTGCACACGGCACTCAAGGTAAGTTGATCGCGGGGTATTCAGATTTTACAGACAACATAGGATCAAAACAACCATGACATGACTATAACATAAGTCATTACACTATAGTTAACCTGTGTGCATCATTTGATAAGAGCTAATTGAGTATATCTCGTGTTTAAAGGCATACATGTTTATGCCTGGTCAAGAAATGACGCCTGTTACAAAGGGATTTATTGTATTTTAGGAGTTATCATTGTAAACTTCATGGGAAATTATTGTCGTTATAAGTTAAAATGAAATCCTTCAGTTTATGTTTGAGAACTTGTTAACATATTGTTGAATTTATTAGGAAATCTTATATTCTCGTACGCCGACATTGCAACCAATCAGCTGTTTTCTGCTAGGTAGGAAGATCAGATTTACGGCGGGAAAACACACGTAGTATCTTTCCTGTTTATGTTTTGTGTTATAGCATTTTAGTAAAGTAATTGTTTAGTACTTAAGAAAAATTAGCCAGGCGTGGGGAGTGACGAGTTTGTTGATGTTATTGTACCCGCCTCTCGACCCCCTCAAGTGGATACCCCCGTCTCTCCCCCCCTTCCCCCCGTCTCCCCCCCCTTCCCCTAGTCTCCCTTCCTCACCAGGCTTACTCCCTCCCTCCTCCCCCCACACGTGGTGCCAATGACCGGCTACTGTGTTTTGGTATACATTATGCACATATCCTATAACACTTTTATAATATTTCCACTGCTACGAGACACAATTGGTCACTTATTTCCACAGATGTTACTTGACTTATCGTTCCTGTTGAAGAGGAATATCAACTCTTACGGCTAACGAGTCGACCAGAAGATAAAGTAAAGAATCACTATTGTTACTGTTCATTGTTACATTAATGACATCGTATGTACACGAGTGGCATTTCAACATCATCCCCGTTATCATCAACGACACTGTACTGATGCTTAAGATTGAAGCATTAGTTATCGTAAGATAGTCATTATGATTACATCCCACTTGGACGATCGTCTGCGATTTAACCTAACCTAACCATTTAACTAAGATGGTAAAAATCGCATAAAACAGACGATCGTACAAATGGGATGACACCAGTCACATTGTCACCTCCATCCATATATTATCATTCATGACCTTAACATATGGAGTGCGGCGGTCGAGTTGCGCGAGTCGGTGGTTCGATCCCCGGGCACTCCCAGTTAACCCAGCTGTAAAAGGGTACGTAAGTTTACAACTTGGGAAAGTGAATACGGTCGAGTGCAGTACCGACCCTGCTACCTCCTCGTATACCGAAGGCTTAGTAAACTGTGCGCTGTATCCACACTGCCCCAAACGGGCAGTCATGCCTATGGGACCCACTTACTTTTACTTTACTCTTTACTTTTATCCTCTTTGCCACTGATCGTCTCGTTAGCCGCTTGGGCGGTCGGTCATGTCTCTGTTACGCACTGTTAACACGTACTGGGCGTGCACGTTAACATAATATCCATCTGCCACAAAAAGAAGTAACTGTTTACCCAATAACTCTCACGTCCGTAATCTTTTCTCTCATTATCGTCATTGTTTGAAGTGATGATAACAGGTGTTACCGTCGTGCCTTGCCTTTGGTTAATAAAGTCTTTGTACAGTAAAATACATTTTGTGTAGCTTCTTTAACAAATTTTATTATTTCTATCCGTAGCTTCATTTTTTATTGAGACATTTAATTCCATTGTTTATTTTTGTTAGTTCAAAAGTCAGTAATGTATTTGTATATGAACCATCGAAGATTTTTTCCTTTTTTGAACATAACTATTCGAGATCATTCTTTACGAGTCGCGTTGTAAACTGGCACCTCTCATCTCTCGCAGTTTATTCACATGGATAGCACAACAAGTTCAACGTAGAACTAAATTTTACTTACATGTCATTCAAGTCTGTTAGAGGGACACCAATAGGTGCTGAATCGGGCAGGCTCTTTATTTTTACAGATCTTGCTCTACTTGGAGATATTTTTGACCAGGTAATGAAAGTTTT